AATTGAATAGCCACACCTTCATAATTCTGCCCATGGAACTTTACATCATCTTTGTTGTAATAGTGAGGAAAGCATTCGGAAATGTGTAAATGTTTGAGAAGATTTGATTGACGCATCATATCGGTATTTTAGTGCAATATCGTCACACTAGGCCGATTGACAGCAGTCAATTATCAGGTATTCAAGCATGTCAGTTTACCAGTTAAAATGTTTCAATCTTTATTCAACAAAATCTCAATTCATTTAGTACACTATTTATTGTCATGAATACAACATAATCATAGCTGTGATATTCATAGTAACATACTTCCACTTTGGTACTACCATGGAGCTAAGAAAAGCTCCATGGTACTACATAGTTGAAGATCACATGATTTCACAAGACCTTGGCAGAAGCTATTTACACTGTCCAGCAATATAATTCCTATTTGTTTAGAAGCATATTATTATATATGCTATTTAGGAGTTTAAACTTTATGTGGTCAGTCTGTGCTAAGTATTACACATGTATGGTTGTTCAGAAAAGTGCAGTGGATAAATCAAATTGTACTAATAAATTGTTGTTCCATGCAGTACAAACACATTGTGAGGAGGCAAAGGCAGTTCATTAATTTCAACACATTACTGGAAATTGCTTTAATTTTGGGATAGTGAAAATTTCCCTGGGATCCTACCACCCAAAATTTATTTAACTTTCACAAAATTTTGTCTTTACAAATAAAATACTGAAACCGCAAACATTTTTAGCAGCCAAAAAAAAAGTTTACAGTATACAACCTACATAACTGATGTGGGTTACAGTCGGTTACTGCCCTAAACGATCTTTCACCTTAGATATAAAGATCACTATCTACCATTGGTATTGTTCATGGTGGAAAAACACCCCCTGACCTTTTGAATGAGCAGTGTGTCTGTTTTTCTTAGATCATGCAGACAAAACACTCGCATACAATGGATAAAAAATAGTTCTTAATAAGTCTGACTAATATGACGGTACCAAAAGCCAGCATGAATGTGTAAATAGCTGACAAGTCCTCACCAATGGATGTGGTAAATACACAAAGTACTTCAAACTGAAATCATTAACACAATAAAAAAAGTAAACAAGTGAAAATACTGAAAGAATCTTGAAAAACCATTCAGAAAATATTGGGAAAATGAAATATATAATGAAAACAAAGGCGAGACAAATATATACCTAAAATAAATTCACAGAACACTTAAATTGAGATCTGAAAATGTCAACATCAACAACTACGTAAATTTCAGATATGTAACCACTGTCTAAAGTAATAGAGCATGGGTGTCACATTCGCCCCAAACACCAGTTGATTGCAGAATCTGTGAGCAATATTAAAACAAGCGACCTGGCAGTCAAAATAGCTCTGCTGTCCTGCAAGAACATTGTGGGAGCCAAGTTGAAAACAAAGTGTTCACAAAAATAATGGAAAAAAATCAGGTTGGTAGTGTTGGATAAGAAGTTGAAATTAGCATGCCAAAAATAGAGAATTGAACATATTGTCATGAAATGAACAAATCTGACGAATTCCCCCAAGGTACATGTACGTACCATTACCAAGTATATTGTATCAAAGCAACTAAGCTGTAGTTTTCAAGAAAGAATTGAAAATAGCATTTTTTACCAAAAATGACGAAAATATTTGCCAAAAATAGAGAATTGAAGATATTGTCATGAAATGAACAAATCTGGCAGAGGTCAACCCAAGGTTGAGCTGGTAGTTTTCAAGAAGAAAATGCAATTGCTGACAGAATGGATGGATGATGGACAATCCACTATATGAACAGCTCCGCTATGTCATCTCTACAATGACAGCGGGGCTAAAAATGAAATTGAAGACAAATTACATTTCATGATATCATGCTCATTCAACAAAAATAGGCCAATGGCCTGTTGCACCACGGCTATTGTACAAAAGATTAGTGCTGTATATGCCACAACTTTTGCCAAAATTAGAGAATTAAAGATATAGCCACGGGATGAACAAATCTAGTAGATGTCAACACGAGGTACATACACACCAAGTATCAAAGCATTCAGGCTACCGGTTTTGAAGAAGAAGTCGAAAATAGAATGTTTGACCAAAAATGACCATTTCAAAATATTCTGAACTGAAATCAGGTCGGGTCGTAATAGCCGTTTTTTTTTCATTATTTTCACCTTAAGTTTCTACCTTTCTACTGTCGATGGGTCCCGAAACTATTTCATCAATTATTTTGAGGGCGATGGTCCAAAATTGGTCGATTTCACGAAGAAAACCATGTGAAATGGGAAAACTATGACGCCTTGTGACATCACAAGAACTTATTCAAGATGGCAGCAAACACGGGGATTTCGCTGTAGTTTTCTGCGGTCGACCCACACGACCATAACTTTCGAAAAAGACTTCTGCCAGTCACTAAATTCCACTCAAAAACGATTTCGTCTGTCCCAAGAGTTCCACAACATCCATAACCACTTTAGTTCAGTCTTTGGAGGGAATTCAGTCGATTTAACAGGAGAATCGACCTGCCCATACAGACGGAAACAATTCGACTGACCGACACAGGGACGCACAGACTTATTCATAAACAAAGTTATTCCAACACCATACTATAGATGGCGATCTCACTATAGAACGCCACAGTAGAGTTTTGGGGGGCTAATTTGCATAATTTTTGGCAGATCAACTTCTCATGAACAAATTACCATCTACACTCATCAAGGCATCCACACACCAAAAATCGAGTCAAATGGTTCGGCGGTTTTTGAGAAGAAGTCGTGCACAGACAGACAGACAGATAGACGGACGACAGACGCAGGACAGAAATCCATCCCATAGGCTCAGCGGACCTATGGTCCGTTGAGCCAAAAATGTGTTCTGTTTGGAAAAACAATCAAACATATTATCAATTTTGCCAACATATTCAGTGATAACAAATTCTAACGAGCACCAACTGTAAGCCAAATTTATACAAAACAGCTGTAATGCCAGACAACAACACCCCCACCAATTCACAAGATTTGTTTTTTAGTATTACTGTATGATTGCTTTTTATCAATTTATCTTTCTTTGCAATTTATGCAAATTATATTTTTTTTTGACACCTCACTGCTATACTTTCCAATGTTGTGTCACTGAATATTATTATTATCACACATGCTTGATAGTGAGCAACTCATCTAAATTACATGTACCACCTCAAAATATGCAAGTTTGTATACATTAGTGACAAATTTCAATTTGTTTGTTATACTCACTCTAAGTTACTAAAATATGTATGTATCCGTTTGACTGTTCTGCCGTGCCTGTGGAGAAAGAAGAAAATTAGAATAACATCTTTTTATCACAACATTTAATAATTTGAACTGCTGTAGAAAAGAGCCCTTCTTTGCACGCCATTGCTCAAAACTCATGCTCATGGCTTTCTTGTGACGTGACGTCCATTAAAGTCTTGCCTTTTCAAAAGAAAATACTAAGTCTACAATCACATACAAAAATGTAGTATAATGAGCCAACACTTATTATGTCTCAACTCAGGGTTACACACTGAACTCAGGGTTAAAACCAGCCTTTTGACTCTGAGCTGAACTAACCTGTTACCAAATGTTGGTTAAAATAAACTTGGAGTCAAGCTCAACGTTTTGATGTATGTGTCAATACATTGTACCATATACATGTATAGAATAAATGTATAAAGTTCTGTTACTGTATCTTATTTCTACTGATTCATTCTCCAGTAGAAATTGTGAAAAAATTCCATCATTGCTCTATTAGAAGCACACATCAATCAAATATTGCATTTATTGTGACTGTAAACACACCTCTGTCATTTACATTTTGTACATGCATTACTAAATATATCAAACATGGTATGTTCAGCAACTATCAGCCTATAGCAACAGGAATATTTTCCATTCAGTCAGAAACTTGCACTTTTTACAAAATAAATCTACATATTTTTTTCAATATTTTATCAAATCAGAAATGTGTCCATTCAGTGCAAAATAAATGAAAGATAATTCAAAAAATTATATAAAATTATGTTCTAGTAAAAAATATGATATTCAATTGGTTGCCGGTAAATATTGTACAGATCACTGATAGATGTAATGATATATGGGTTTATTATGAGTCATATCAGGAAGTCATCAAAATACAAAGAAAAAGTGAACCATGATACTAGTAGCACTTTTATACTAAACTAGGGAAAGCGAATTTCCTGTTTTCTGATGCAATCTTCTTTATCAAACACAGAAATTTTTCTCATAAATGGAACTTCAAATTCAATATTTGGTTCTTGAAAATACACAAAATATTTTCTCTGTAAACTATTATATTTATACATTTTGTATGTATGTATGTATGTATGTTGTGACTGACAAACAACTGCACATATCATGATGTTTCTTAAATGGAATACTGTAAACTGTATCTATCTTATTTAGTCTTCGCAATTAAGTGAAAATCATGAATCATGTAGTCGTAGTAACTTTCACAAAATTCTGTCCCTATGAATGCAATTAAATTTGAATCAATGAAAATATGTTTTACAATATTGATTTCATAATCATGACAGTTTGTGGAGTAAGAATATTCAAACTGCCACAACAAGGATGTGAGGAAATTATTTTATTTGACTTGATATTGAACATTTTTTAATGTTAGTGCATGCAAAACTTTAACTAAAAAGCAATCATATACAAAATATTCCATTGTTTATAAATTTTAAACTTCAAATTGGAAATTGCTTCTTGTTGATTTGCAATTACTGGTACAGTATATTATCAATTGCAATATTATTGTCAATATTATAATTATTATTATCAATTGCAAATGCTGAATGTATACACCCTATAAAAACTGATATCCAGACTATAACCATCTGGTGGCCACTCTTGTACTTGATTTGGATTAATTCAATAAACATGTAGTGATATGCAAGAGTGTTATATGAGATCATGCACAAATTGAAGAAGTTGCACAAAATTGCAAGACAAAACTACATTTCTACAAATTCTAATGTAAATTAGTGAGTTTAAGAAAGAACTGATATGTGTTTTGATAAGATTGTTTTTGACAGCATCCAAGCTAACTCGCAAAGTGTGTCCCTAGCTTTGTACCACATACCATTGTCCATTGTAATGACTGACTATGGTGTGGTGCTTACACAGATACACAGCAGAGTTTTGTCCACCAGTAATACGTGTACAACTTCAGGTCATTTTTTTTGTTAACCTGGGTCACACTCTTGATTTGAATGGGCAACACACAGACACAAGTTCAGCTTTGATTTCAAAATAAGCACACAAGTACAACGGTCGGCAAATAAGTGTGTGGACCTTAATTGTGTCGATCTGACCGCGGTATACTGATCTAGCATTTTTGTAGGCAGATTAGGGAACACCAGACATACTTTTCACGAGTTACAGGAATCAAAATCAAATACTAGTAATACCGGTAGCAGCATCATGCACCAATGTAGGACGTAAACACATGTAAATGCACTTATGCAAAGAGAGGTCGCATGGCGGTCAAAAGAGTTCACATTCACGTGTTTTGCAACATTCGCTATGAAACCCTGGGTGAATTCCGTGATATACACATATACATAACAAACTGAGATACATGTGGAGTTTTCTGCTAACAATGTGTAGTTGGTGGGAGAAGGTCGTATTAAACTGGTGCAGCACTGGTTTAGTACACGTTCACATACATTCGGACTGTACAGCACGTACCTGAGTAGTTGAACTCCAAACACGCGATCGTCCTGTTCGCTGTCATCGTCTACAACGATCCATTTCCACTGTTCCTCATCTAGCAATATTTGCAGTACTAAAGAAGCGTGTATGAGCTCACACTTCCCAGGCGATACATTGCTTTGCCGATCTGATGACATACCGTCACTGTGGCCGTGTCCCGACTGGACTTCTGTTCAATCTCAGATATTGCCTCTTTTGTAGTACTCAGGAACCCCCTACGAGGACTGCTTATCCGTGTGTAGTCGCTCCGTTCATGATACTAAAAACTAAATATTCCACACAAAAATTGAAACAACTAACGGAATTTCCGCAGGCAAAATCATTTTGAACACAGTCCAGTTGCTGTTCAACACATTTTGTAGGCCTGTGCTGGAACGCTTTAACGCCAGTGGCGCTGTCCATGACGTCAGGAGTATCCACACTTTTGAAACAAGCCATCTTATTGGCTATTCTAACTCAGTAATCTCGGTAGTGCAGCACGAAGAATAGTTCACTACGCCGAGAAGAACTCTCTATATAAACTAATACACTTGACATTATTGAAATTAAGTTGTTATAAAACAGATATTAAAGTATTAAAGGCAAAGGAAAAAATATATATTTCCTGACTTTGGACCAATCATCGACCCCGGCACATCAACGATCAACGAAGTGTCAAGCTCACATGACTGCCTGTGACTGGAAATATAGTAAAGTTTTAATTGTCAAGAAGAGGGAAGCAATGAACAGGAAAAAATAATAAATATAAGAATCAATAACAGAAAACAATCTGAACGTCTATATTTTAGAGTAAAATATTACACATAGTGCAAACAAAAAATACAGTAAATTCAAAATTGCACGGAAAGAAATTCCAAATTTGCTCATTTTGTCATCGCTCTTTACAAATCCGAATCAGTTTTGGTCGCCATTATACTTTTTTTTAATCTTGGTACAGTAATATCTAGATATTTGTACATAGTTGTGTTCGGGCTACACCAAGCACGGGTCCCGGATAAGATTCAAGCTAATCGGATATGTTTGTATATCGGCTATACCCAATTGCGTTCTGAATCACCCATGCGCATGATGGAAAGTAGTAGTAGATATATAGTAGACTACTACCTTCCACGGCACAAGAGAGGAAACAGCAGCTAGCACGGCCCACACGCCCAAACTTGTAAAAAAAATTTATAAACACATTATTCCATGGATAACTTATATAATATTCAAATTTCTCCTATTTTCGCTTTATTCATTCTGCCATAGATACCAACTGTAAACTACTCAAAACACGATTTTGATAATTTTTAGGTCGTTTTGTGAAAAAATTTGTTCGATGACCATATATTTTTATTTCAGAATTTTGAACATTGCAGTAAACCAACCACTCTTAGTGAAATTTGAGGATGTTCTTATAATGGTAGTGAACTTCCTTAACTATAATTACTGAGTACAGTAACCAGGAAGCCTGAGGCATACATGCTAGTTCTACAGGTTATAATTCAGAAAATGCAGATTGCAGAATAACAGGAAGTAGTACTCAGTCCTATTGTCAATTCATTTTTACCCGAGAACAATGTCCCTAGATGTGCTCGCGTCGATTTCCATGTCGGAAATAGCATACCCAAATGAATAATTATGAATATAATGAACATAGAATACAATGGAGTTTTGGGCGCCTGGGATCTGAACCGGATCTTAAAAACAGAATTCGCGATCAGAATTAACCCGTGCCACAGTCCCTCTATCCGATTTATAGACATTTCGACCCGAAATTTTCAAGTTCTCGACCCAAGACACTTCGACCCAAATTGGACATCCAATAAAA